ACACACACACACACACACACACACCTCACCTGTTCGAGAATAAGGTGGCCACACACACTACACTTCTCAGCAGCAGCCTGGAATCCCGAAAACTGTGATTGAAACAAAGACAATTAACGAATGAGCACAAAATGTTAGATTTAGACTTCTGAATAAAATGAATGAATAGTTCTCAATGGTGATTTATGAAGTGTGTGAGTGTGAGTGTGTGTGTGTGTGTGTGGTGGATGACAACACGCCTCCACCTCATCTCTTACCATGTAATCCTCTTTACAGTACACAGAGCCACTGACATTGTAGAAGTCCTTGTTTCTCAGGGTGCGTCCTGCAGAGGGACAGAGATGAGGCAGCACCACACGTTTAGAGAAGGTGTGGTGGCGATAGAAATCCTGAACTAAGCTCAAATCCTTTAAATCATCACTGTTGTGTTTGGTGGGGTGGGGTGGGGTGGGGGGGTGGGAGGGGGCACTCACCACAGGACACACAGGTGAAGCAGCGTGTGTGATAGAGGTTGTCCAGAGCCTGGCAGGCGTTGTCCGCCCCGTACACGCCTTTCCCACACTTCACACAGGTTCCTGCCGACACACAGACACAGACACACACACACACACATTTAGTCGAGAGTAATCGCTCGCCGTCTCTTAACACTTCGTTTACGGCACATTCCAGGAGGATGTGTCTGAAATCCAACGCCACACAAAGTGTCAACACTTGTAAATCCTCTCGTTCGCACCACCTAGGGGATTTTCACACAGTTAAAACCTGGTTACCCGTGCCAGCCCGTTTGCTCATCCACCCCAGTGTCTGTGTTAAAGCTCTGTCATTAAAGGGAAACTCCACCGGATTTAACTTTTTGCTTTTTTGGCAGTCGCTTCAGAAGATGGAATGACTCCTCCTTTCTCCTGGAGCGTTTTAATAAAGACATTCCTTTAATTTTTTTACCTAAGCTCCACAATTGGAGCCATTTTGAGATTAAAGCAAGGCGGAACTTTTCCCTAACAACTTGCAGTAGTAAATTACAGAATAAACAATATCTTATTGACAATTCAAGTCAGATAAAAAGCCTTCAACGACATTTCAGTTAAAGGGTAAATAAACATTTCTAGGTAAATATTGGAATAAGTTCAAGTTTGGCTGCTTAACGGCTTTAAAACAATATAGTTCACCAAGTTACGTTTCAACCTTAAAACAGCAGCTTCAAAAAGGGTTTGATGGTTCGGTGGCTGAGCGTGAATATGGAGAATGTCTCCTCTTTGACTCCCTCTCCTCACCCTGAACGTCGGTTCTATGTAACGTCGGTGAGTGGGTTCCATCTCCTGTGAGAAGCTTCAACTGTCAGAATCAGGTCCAGCGAGTTGAAGAGTGAAGCTGAACTGTAGATCCGTTAAAAAGTCTTTAAAAACCAGAGTTTATCTCCAATATTCAGCAGGAAACTTTTAAAATATGAAGAATTCTGAACAGATTTTGGAGGATTGGTTCAGGAAGCCGGGAATCGTGGGTAATATCCACGTTTCAGTTGTGTTTTGTGATCACGCGTCGCCTTTTCTGTGTATTGATTTTTCTCTGATAAACCACCGTGTGTGGCTCCAGAGGGCGCTGTTGCTCAGGTTACACAGTGCTGCTTTAGGTCAACACTTACACCAAACTTCTCTCTTTTCATCCGACAGATTTCACGCTGAGCACTAAATGCAAAGTGGAAAAGTGGCGGTGGTCCGAGCGGCAGAGCTTCTGTGATCTATTTAAGGGTCTGCCAGTTTTTTTCTTCTTCTTTCCCTCGTCTAATGTGGCTGAGGGAGTGCCACACAAATGCAGAATTCCTACACTCTGCCGTCTTGGACAGTCCCTCGGATATTTAGGAACAGGCCCGGCTCGCTGCCAAAACCAGAAACCAGAGGCCCGAGACTCGAACTCAAGCTTTTAAATACAGCGTCTAAAGCCGCCGCACGTAGAATAAGCCTGGAAATGATTGGGTTAAGACTCAGAGTCTTTTTTTAAAAGATTAGAGTTCTGTAGAATAGATACAGTTAAGAATATTTTTTACTACGTGACTAGTTTGGCGTGTTCACAAATCACTTTCTCCACATATTTGCTTTGACTACACCTCCATCGCCTTGACTTGTGAGGAAATATTTATCGTTTTTACTTTCTTTTTAATGACTGTTTGTTTTCTGGCGTTGTGAGTCTTTTCCCCTTCACATAGGTGTGTGTGTGTGTGTGTGTGTGTGTCAGCTGAGCTCGGAGCGTCTGTCTTGACGGCTCACGGCTTCTGATTCCTTCCTAATGGCAGAGAGGAGTACAGTATTGTATGTCCCCTCCGGGCGCACATACCTGAGCGGAGAAAACAGGCTACAGCACACACCGAGGCAGCATTACACACACCAACACACATGAGTCACACACACACATTGCATTACTGTGGCCTGAAGTCACTCAGGGGAAACACACCCTGCTGCAAAAAAACAATACACACATATATATTCATCCAGCCACTGTAACACACTCCTATCCTGCTACAACACGCACACACGCACGCACACACACACACTGAGCCCTCAACTTCTGTGACTCACAGTAATGGTCACAGTTGTGTTTATAAAGAACCATGTAATTTGTGTCTGAGTGTTACATGGCATTCTGCAGTTTAATGCCCATGTAGCTACGCTGCATTAGGCCTCTGTGTGCACGACACTGTGGCAAATCGGCAACGCCTGCACGAAACATCGGCTGACTTTCCCCTCTGTCGTGGATACAGGTGTGATTCCACACAGATCTGCACTGCTGGAGCTTTATTGGTTTTGTTTACTTAAATATCTTTGTACCTTTTGTTTCTTTCTATTAAACCAAACACATCTACTTGTGTGGATCAGTGTTTGAAGCCTGAGCGCTTCTTTTTCCTCCTTAATGCTCTGCATGTCTCTGCAGGCTCCATCCATCCCTACACTCTTTGAACTATTAATCTGTCCATCCATCCTTGCATCCATCCCTGCAACCCTTTCATTTACAGAGAAACCTGTGATCTGACACCAGGCAGCGCAGAGGACAATAATAACACAGTGAGGGCGGATGCTGCTGTGGCGACCAAGCGCCCCACTATGAATGAATGCATGGGATGCCATCCATGACGGGTGACGCCACCGGCTCGAGTTATTGTACCATCTGTGTTAAAAACTCATGTCTAACGTCCTCAGTTCATTTCTTGCTCCTGAAAACTATAAAAAAATAAGTTTCTCACCAAAGTACTCCTGGCGGTTCTCCGTGGCCTCCCGTCCAGGTCCGACTCCAGGGTCCTCCTGAGGTTTGCCGGGCCCCCCAGCTGACGAAGGCCCCAGTGTCGCTGAGCTCGGTTTGGAGAGAGCCGTCAGGGCGAGGGACTGCTCTTTCAGCATCAGGCCCTCCAGGAGCCCCTCGCCCTCCAGCGCTGCATCTCTCAGTAGAAGTCGGGTGAGCTCTTCCTGGTAGCGGGTGCCGGGCAGGTCTGAGTAGCGGGCCCTCTCTCCCATCACACCCCCCTCTTTGCCTCTCGCCCCCACCTGCTGCTCATCCCACCACTCTGGGCCACCCTGGTAACATGCAGCCGCTGGGCTTCCTACAGCAGGTGGGTAAGAGTGTCGACTATCGTGGGCCCCTGCACGCATCCCTCCGTCCAGGTATTGAGTCCAGGCCTCTACAGGGGTAACCCCAGCCCTTCCTGGGGCGCCGTAACCAGCCACACACATCCCTGACTGCATAGAGGGGGACGGCTGCTGTGGAGGGAGTCCTCCAGAGGCAGAGTACCGGGAGTCATAGCCCAGGCTGATGCCGCTGGTCCGGTTGCTGCTACAGCGGCTCCCCATGGGGCTCCCACCCCCGCCGCCGCTGGCCGTGCTCGAGGCGAAGCTGGACCTGGGGCTGACCAGCACCGACTCCTGGAGGCTGAAAGACGAGCATGGGCTCCCAGTCGGCCCTGGAGGGTAGAAGAAGCTTCCTCCTACACCTCCTCCAGTCACATCAGAGGGGCGATGTGGTGGATGAGAGAGGGACGCAGGCCTGGGGCTCTCCCATAGTTCACTACCTGTGCTCAGGCGTTTGTAGAACAGAGCCTCCTGAAGAGAGAGACGCTTGTGCCTCTCATGCTCAGAGAGGTACCCGGTCTCAGCCAGACCACCTCTGGGGGCCGACCCATAGCCCCCGGCGGCAGGGTACGGTGGAGGCACAGAGAGAGGAGGCGGCTGGGAGAGGAGCTGCTGTCGTTTGACCAGCTGCTGCAGCTCCAGGGAGTAGCGGCGCTGATTCAGGGACGTCCTGGATCCAAACGTCCCCATAGGGTCACACTCGGGGCCCAGGCCAGACTCCCGCCTCATGTGGGAATCCACACCTTCCCCCAGGTAACAGGAAGCTCGCTGCTGGGGGGAGCGACGCCTCAACGGTGCCAAGGTGGAGGGGTGAAGCTGCTGCTCCCCATCTGAAGATATGGTGCCCACTGTGACGGAAGTCTGTGGTGAGGTGAGGAGCTGAGGGGGTGGAATGCCTCCCCCTCCTCCCCTCCCACTCGCTGGAACACATGCATCACTTGTGGTTGCAGAGGCAAGCGGGAACTGGCCAGGTCTGGAGGGCGAGGCAGCTGCAGAGCCGGGAGCTGGTGGCAGACCGCTGCCCCCGCCACCACCACCTCCTCCTCCTCCTCCTCCTCCAGGGATGCCAGCGTTGGCGTTGCTGTTATTGGAGTTGTTGGCAGAGTCCTGTTTTTTCTTGGAACTGTTGAATTTCACACTGCCCGAGTCTGTGAGCTTTAACTTCTCCAGTAACTTGCTGATGGGCCTGTCCATGATGAAGCCTTCTCCTGTGTGTGTGTGTGTTTAAATACCTGTCTGGGCACAGTCAAGTCTCACAGCTTCTCCTTGGAAGTTACAGCAGCAGAATAAAGAAATACAGCTTTTACTACGACAATTGAAATGTCAGCGTTCAAATACTATAATAACAAATCAAATACTATAATAAGAAGTTTTTAAAAACTGGCCTTTGAAGTAGCTCAAAGCTAAATTTAAAAAAAAATGGACCACTTATATATATATACACACAAACACACACACACACAATAAATACAAAAACAGATAAATTAAAGCTTTAAGACATTTCAGGGTGGTTACATGACTCAAGTCCTCGGGGTCCTCGGCCTCTATGTGGAGGATCCACAGGCGCAGGGGGACTGTGGTGGAGAAGGAGCCATTGGATTGGTGGAGAATCACTGGTGTAGTTCACCTCAGTGTGGATCCAGACAGGAAATGATGGAGACACACATCCAGGACACTTGAGAGTGACCTACGGTGGTGGAGGGCCTCCTTTGTGGGCCCTCATGTGGCTCCACATCTGCATCTTGTGAAGTGTGTGTGTTTGAGATCCAGAGTCTGTGAGAGTGTGTGTGTGTGTGTGTGTGTGTGTGTG